CGCGGCAGCATTTTGCGGTTACAGGGTTTAGGTGTAAGTCGAGTTGCCTATCTGCCTATGGGGCACGCTTTACTGGTAATGTGGAATAAGATTAGATCGCAAATCCGGCGGGGAATGAGACAAGAAAGATTGAATTCTACATTCTGGTATAGTGTAAAATTCAGTAATATAATATGAAATATGTATTTAATAATACAAATATCTAATTTAATCTAACATAAATAATATTTAATGAATATTTAAAAATATATAATTATAAATATTTGTAATTATAAAATATATATTTATTATATGTATAGACAAAAATATTTACTTCATAAAAATATTTGCTTCTTTTTTTGTCTTTTATTTTTGCCCTTTGATTGACCTTTCGTGACATCTTAAGAATATACTTAAGACAGTCTTGAAAATAAGAATCGATTATGAATACCGACCATTATCTATATTGGCCGATTTTCAGTATCCTTTACCTCATTACCTCGCGCGCAGTCTAAATATTGATTGGCATTTTGACTTCACACGTGATAGTAAGCAAGAGGAAGGAGGAGAAAAAGCTGAAAATCAGTCAAAAACTCAATAGCATAATTACTTTAGACGAAAATTTAGTGGAATCTCGAAAAAAATACATACAGGCTGAATTCTTTCACAGAACTTTATTTTTGCATATGAATGAAGAGGGAAGAAGTTTACCATTATACTGTGTGCGCTAAAAAAAATAATTAAACAAATAGAGCCTATATATAAGATAATAAGATAATAAGATTCTATAATATATTAACACAAAGAAGGTTCTACAAAATGTTAACAAAATAGGTTCTATAAGATATTAATACAAAAAAAGATAATAAGATAAGATAGTAAAATATTCACGAAAAATATTTAAAAATAAGTTTTGTTCGAAAATTAAAAAAAATATTTATAAAATTATATCTCAAAAACTAATGGTCAAGGACACATAAAAAATTATTTTGTAAAGAATTTAATAACTTTTAATTTTTATAAGGGTTATTTTATATGTGAAAGTAGCCAAATCCGAGATATTTACGAAAAAAGTGCAAAATATCATTTCATTTTTTAAATAACCAAAAATATGTCTTTAAAAAAATTCTATCACGGAAAATATTGATCCTACAATCTTAAAAAAAAAAATTGTTTATAATTTTGTCAGCTTTCTTTTTGATAATGACATTTATTTCAATAAAATCAGTACTTTCAGAGATATTTTTAACAAACCGCATTTTTGGTCAATTTTTTGAAGCTGTAAAATTTTCCAATTATTCGGACAGTGAAGATTTTTAATATATCTCATAATGCCTCACACACATAAATCTTCGTATAGCGATAATGTCTTAATTAGGCGTCCAATTCTAAGAACTGCACGTTGTTTCTTCGTACAAAGTACTACTCTGTGGACTACTGTTTTAGTACAGATTGCACAGCTTTTTTACAAGAAGCAAATGTTGACGATGTGACACCCACCAAACGAGAATAGATTAAAATGAATTAAAATTTTTTTAATGCATACTTTAAATCCATGAAAATGGATTGAATGGATTGAAATGGATTAGATCCGAGCTGACGCTAGTTTAGTATTCTGAAAAATAAACACTCATATTTAATGGTTACAAATTTTATTTCTAAAACATTTATAATAATTATACCTGAAATTAACCACTTCAAATTAGTATTAAAAAACGCACTTTAGTGGGATTCGAAACCTGGAATCGACCTCTGGATTATGAATCTTCTATGTTATCCGCTACACCATTTCTTCAATTGGTAAATGTGTTATTCATTCTCTACTTCAATTACGACCAGCTAAACTAGTAACGAAATTATATATAGATATAATAAAAATATCATTAACAGATATAATAAAATATAACAATACAATAAATATAAATATATACAATTTATATTACTATGAGACAACATCGAATAATCTAATCTTGCTTAATCGATGCCACGCGCCGTGATTAGCTTAATATTCGAGCTGTGTTCGACTTGGTTTGCGAGTGTTCACATCGATCATTCATTTTACTTCTAATCAAAGAGAAACAAATGAGCATAGCTTAATTATTTTTACGTTACAACTTTTTTTAACTTAGTTGGATTAAGACGAGAAATTTCCTACTTATAATTTTGAATAATTTAAGTAGCATTTATGATCCATTTTTAAATAAAATTTTTTTATTTAATCAGATTGAAAAACGGCATTTCAGAATATTGAATTGAGCAGTATTCACGTTACATAGAAATTGCTGACAATATTTTTGAATTTAACTGAATTAAAAAAACTACTTCCTATTCACAATTCTGAATTGAGTAGTATTCACAATGTATAGAAAAATGCTAATATTATTTTTAAATTAAAAGGCATAGAGATATGTTCTATGCAATTCCTATAAATGAATAAAAATGCATTTAGGATTGAAAAGGATACATTTTAACATTCATAATATTTCTGAAAATCTGAATTTATTTTAATCCATTTCAATCCATTCTCGTTTGGGTTGTTACAAACTTTAAAACAAAATAATGACAAAAATACTGACGATATAGAAAACATTCCTTGGATTACGATTCCATATGTTCAGAACATATCGGAAAAATTTAAAAACATAACGAAAAATTTAAATGTTAAGTTAGCTTTATATATAATCTCTATAAAATGAGTAAATTTATTAAAGTATACAAAGATGTGCTTCTAATTGAATCAAAGAAAAATGTAGTGTATCAAATCTCATGTAATGATTGCGACGCGACTTATGTAGGACAAACGGGTAGAAAACTTAAAATCAGAGTTTCAGAACATAGGAATCACATAAATAGAAACATCACTGCCTAATCAGTAATTACAGATCATAGATTGCGTCACGATCACGAATTTAATTGGACGAATCCTAGATATCGAAAAATATTTAAATAAACGCTTAACATCCGAAATGTTATTTATCAAACTGCAAAAAAATAGCATAAATTTACAATCAAACACGGAATGCCTTAATTATGCGTACATTGAACATTATGTGAACATTCTGAATAAATTTCAACTCTCATGCGTTAATATTATAACTTTACATGACTCCTAGTAATATTTTGTTTTTACATATATGTATATAATAGAGGTATTTATTTATTAATGTTTCCTTCGTATTCTCGCAAATAATTTTTAAATTATAACGATTCTGACGCTGATCACAGCTACAATTGTATCTCATAAAAATTCTGTAAAATTGACAAAGAAACTTGCTGAATTTTGTAATAAAATTTCACGCTCCTGTTCTTCAAATAAGTCTTCGTAATTTCAGCTAATATTTCAGCTAATAATATTTAAAATATCAATTCTTAATACCTCATAGGCATCTGTTTTTCCATTGTAATCATCATCGGTTTTGGACCATGATGAAACCTTTGGAAATATGCAGCTGAGTAGGGACTCGTCTGATACGCAGAAGAGTGGAAACCTTATTTTTCTTCGTTAATCTCGCCGAGGATGACCCCAAGAGATGATCGAAACATTCGAGTGTACAGCAAGTCAAATACAATTTATATATACATATAATCAATAATTGTGTTTAATTAAGTACCGCACCGAACTTTCATTTTCTACATTATTTTAATTTCGAGAGTTCATAACTAGTAATTCTTAAAAATTAAAAATATTCAAACGACTGATAAGAAATTTAGTAAAGTTTGAATATTCAAACTACAACATAAAAATTTAAAAAAATATGATTAGAAATTGATTTAACTGTGGCTACAAATTCAGACAATATTCTGTCTGAAAATTCAGGCAATGTAACTGTAAAAACATTTCAACTTTTTTTCTGAATTTTAAGGCAATTTTTTACAGTGCAATAATAAATTTTAATTACAACAAGATATTTTGAAATTTTATGTCAATAAACATTAAGAAATATAACTATATATAAGATTAAACAACGCAATAATAAATAGTACGAAATAAAATATCAATGTAAAATATCTTTACTTCTTGATTACATTTATTAAAAAATTAAATATATATATAACAAATCGAATATAGAATAACGAATGCAAAGTAGTAAAGATAACATAATCATTAAAACACATATATATATCAAGTGCCACATATATGTATCTGCCAATAGAATTTATGTGCTCTTATTCATGGATCACGAGTTGCATAGTAAAATGTGATATACAATGAGAAACAGGAAGTTTGCTCATAAGCTTATCATTAATATTGCATATTTTTTATAAGTAATTCGAACAAACAACTTTCCATGGATTATGTATTGCAACAAAGTGGCATTATCATACATATCATTGAATTCATCAAAGTATGCATCATTCATAGCTCATTGAAAAATATGAATTTATTCTAAATTGCAAACAAATTTTGTATCAGCAGAATTTAACGTAATTTTATTTTAAAAATATAAAAAAATTAATGTCAAATACAGTTTGATACAAATTACGTTAGTTTACAACAAAATCTTTCTTATACATTTTTAAATGTTTGATGAAAAAACCAACTCTTTCACAATATTTAATTTTCTTGTAAAAAAAATTAACAGCCCTTGTTCAGCTACCCCTCCCCCTCCCCCCACCATGTCGAAATAAAAAAACGCATAGCTCAGAATTAGGAGCAATTTATGAATTTCCAAAACCCCGCAAAAAAATGAGCTCGTCCCGGTTAGCAGGAATCTTAATTTAAAGATGGACGTCCACACAGCCCCCCTCGCCTTAAAATTAACAATAGGAAATCAGTCCAAGCTCAGAATTAGGAGCTCTTTATGAGTTCTTAAATCAGTGCTCTTTCGATTTTTGAGCTCCATCCCTTATCCCCAAAACAATCCCAAGATTAGTCTACACTCAAGAAGTAGGAGAAGCCCGGGCAAAATGGACGCCCTAG